TTTTGCACTCGGACCAAGAAGTCTAAAGTTCATCACTAAGTACCTATTATAAATATATATTCACTTTGCGTTTTGCACTCGGACCAAGAAGTCTAAAGTTCATCAGGTTATGAGCCCAAGTTCGTCAGACTCTGAAACCGCCAACAATTCAAGCTTAGCTGCCATGGACGCCTCCTCCCTCCGCATCTCCAAGTTCGATGGAACTAACTTCCACGCCTGGAAGTTCAAGATGCAGATGGTGCTGGAGGAACGGGACCTATGGGAGGTCGTCAGCGGTGAGATCAAGGCGGAACAGTGCGAGACTCAGTTGGACCAAGCGACGTACAAGAGGAAGTCAAGAAAGGCGATGGCAGTGATCTGTCTAGCCATGGAAGATTCCCAGCTACCGTTGGTCTGGTCGGCAAGTGGTGCATGCGACGCATGGTCAAGGTTGGAAGACCACTTCGAGAAGAAGAGTCTTGCCAACAAGCTGTTCTTGCGCCGTCGCTTCTTCACGACAATGATGGAAGAAGGCGACGATGTGCTCGAACACATCAACAAGCTCAAGACGCTGGCGGAACAGCTAGAAGCGGTGGGGGCTCCAGTCTGCGAGGACGATCTGGTGATCACACTCCTCGGCAGCCTGAGTGACTCGTATCAATTCTTGATCACAGCTTTGGAGTCGCGCTCAGACACTCTTAGCTGGGAGCTCGTGACGTCTCGATTGCTTCATGAAGAAATGAAGCGGAAGGAGCAAGGAAGTAAAGGTGATGAAGCTTCGCAAGGTCAAGCGTTCATCACAAGGGACAATCAGCGCAAAGGGCGACCAGTGAAGAAGTCCTGGCCGTGCCACAATTGCGGAAAGATTGGTCACTGGATGGCGGAGTGCCCCTCGCGCATCCAAGAAAACACGGAGAGACACCGGCCACAGCGTGCTCAAGACAGCGGCGACCGCTATCGATCACAACGTGCAAACGTCGCTCAAGAAGAAGACTCGGGCGACTACCTCTTTCGATCGGTGAAACGACATCTGCGAAATCGAGCGACATCTGGCTGGTCGACTCCGGGGCGACGCAGCACATGACGTGCTCCAAGAAGTTCATGCGGAACTACAAGGGGTTTGACGCTGTGGATGTCCATCTCGCGGATGATGGAATCGTCCAAGCAATCGGCAGTGGGGACATTGTCATGTCGATGAAGACACCCCAAGGGATGAAGAAAGGTGTGCTCACAAACGTGTGGCACATCCCAAAGTTATCCAGAAACCTGTTCTCGGTCGGCCGCTTCACCAAGGATGTCGGCCCAGTGACTTTCACGAAGGATGGGTGCTATGGAGAAGGGAAAGGGACCAAGTGGAAAATTGGTGCCCGTGAAGTTAAAGGACTGTTCAAGCTGCAAATGACTCCAGTGGCGCCGGAACAAGCAAATGCAGCCAAGTCGTCGGGATGTCAAGGGGGCACCAAGTCGTACCTCTGGCACCTTCGGCTTGGGCCACATAGGTCACGATGGACTCAATTGCATCGTGACGAAGAACATTGGAATTGGCATCGACATATCTTCGGTGAAGAAGTGGGACGTGTGTGAAGGTTGTGCTCTGGGAAAACAGACTCGAGTGCGCTTCCAATCAAACACTACAGCTCGCACCTCCAAACTCCTCGAAGTGATTCACAGCGACGTATGCGGACCGATGTCGATGGCAACTTTCAGTGGAAAACGGTACTTCGTGACATTCATTGATGACAAGTCAAGATACTGTGTCGTCTATCTGCTCAAGAGCAAATCTGAAGTTGCGGCGAAGTTCATGGAATACGCTGCGATGGCCGAAACGCAAACCGGAAAGCGCGTGAAGTACCTTCAAAGCGACAATGGGGGTGAATACAAGTCCGACAAGCTGGCACGATTCTGCGCGGAACGGGGAATACAACAAAGGTTCACACCCCCATATACTCCTCAGCTAAACGGAGTAGCTGAGAGAATGAATCGCACTCTGGTCGAGTGTGCGCGTTGCATGATGGAACACGCTGGACTGGGAAAGAGCTACTGGGGTGAAGCAGTGATGACGGCGATGTTTCTTCGAAACCGCTGTCCAACACGTGCCATTCACCAAGACAAGTCTCCATATCAAGTGTGGACGATGAAGAAACCGATTCTGGCCAACCTTAAAGTGTTTGGATGCCACGCGTATGTTCAAGTGCCTCAAGACAAACGCGCGAAGTTCGACTCCAAGTCATCACTCTGTCGTTTCCTGGGATACGCCGAACACCAGAAGTCATATCGATTTGAGGAAGTGTCAACAGGAGCGATCAAGATCAGTCGCGATGCCACATTCATGGAAGACAAGTTTGATGAAGGTCCGCGCAACTACAACGATGAGTCAAGTGTCGTTGAGTTTGATGATCATGATGAGGACGAAGAAAAAGAAGAAGGTAAAACTGACGACGACATGGACTCGAGCGACGATGACAACGAAGACACCAGGTCTTCGAAGAGCAACATCAAGAGACACACGCGCACTCAATCACTTGAGAAAGCTACCGTCATCTCCAAGTCCCAAGCGAAGAACATACAGAGGTCCGTCGCTTGAGCATGTGTCAGCGGCTGCAATGGATTTTGAAGCAGCCTACATCGTTGATTCAGTGGGGGAAACGCCGACTACATTCAAGTCGGCGATGGAATCAAGCGACTCCGGCAAGTGGAAAGAAGCGTGTGACTCGGAGTTCGATTCGCTTCAGAGAAACGACACGTGGGAAATCGTGCCTCTTCCGAAAGGTCGCAAGGCCATCGGGTGCCGATGGGTTTTTCGTGTAAAGGAGAATCAAGATGGCGAAGTTGAACGTTTCAAGGCAAGACTTGTGGCCAAAGGATTCTCACAGAAATTCGGAGTTGACTATGAAGAAACTTTCGCACCGGTGGCCAAGTTCACATCGATTCGTGTGGTGCTCAGTATGGCGGCTAAGTACGGCCCTAATGCTACATCAGATGGACGTCAAGACAGCGTTTCTTAACGGCTCCCTCAACGAAGACATCTACATGGACCAGCCGGACGGATACCTGGATGCAACACAGCCGGACTATGTGTGCAAGCTAAAGAGATCACTCTACGGCTTGAAGCAATCGCCTCGCATGTGGAACCAAACAATCGATGGGTTCATGATCAAGATGGGATTCAAGAAGTGCGAATCGGACCACTGCATCTACATCAAGCGAGACGACCAAGACATGATTCTCGTGGTGCTCTACGTCGATGATCTCATCCTGGCCAGCAGCAACAACGAACTCCTCAAGTCAACCAAGATGGCGCTGAGCAAACGCTTCGAAATGACGGATCTCGGTGAGCTCGATTACTTTCTCGGCATGGAGATCAAGAACGACCGTAAGACGGGAATGGTGACTGTACAACAAACCAAGTTCCTCAAGTCCGTGTTAACCAAGTTCGGAATGGATAACAGCAAGCCAGTGAAGACGCCTCAAGATCCCGGCCTGAAGCTAACCAAGAACATGTGTGAACAAGAATGCAAGCACGAAGACACCATGTGCAACGTGCCATATCGAAGTGCTGTCGGAGGCATCATGTATCTCATGGTCGCCACACGTCCGGATCTAGCTGCTGCAGTGGGATCATTATCCCAGTTCTCGTCCGACCCATGCCCGACTCACTGGCAAGCTTTGAAGCGTGTGCTGAGATACCTGCAAGCAACGCCCAATCATGGTCTTGAGTTTACACGTGAAGAAGGAAGCCGTATCTGCGGGTACACCGACGCAGACTGGGCCGGCGACATTGAGTCAAGACGAAGTACAAGCGGCTATGTGTTCATGATGAGCGGAGGATGCATCAGCTGGAAAAGCCAGAAACAACGGACGGTCGCGCTATCTTCAACAGAAGCAGAATACATGGCGCTTTCCGAAGCAACCAAAGAAGCAGTATGGCTCAAAGTGCTTTTGGGGGAACTTGGTGAGATGACAAGCGACGAAGCGATCAAGATGTATGAAGACAACCAAGGATCAATCGCTCTCGCCAAGAACCCGGAGTTCCATAAGAGAACAAAACACATCGACATACGCTACCATTTTGTGCGTGAGAAGGTGGAATCAGGTGAAGTCGTTTTGGAGTATTGCCCGACTCAAGATATGCTGGCAGACATGATGACCAAGCCGATCGCCGCTGTACAATTTGAAAACATTCGCGATCGACTTGGGATCCACAGTGCCGCAGCTAACGAGTCGAGAGGGAGTGTTGAAAAGACAGCGGCTGTGAAGAAGACACCTCGTCAAGCTGCGTCAAGTGTTGAAGCAAGTGGAAGACCAAGCTTCGCTATACCGGTGGGTACCGGTATGTACCAGTAAGGGCGAAGTCAGGAAATGACGTCACTGGATGACGTCATTGCATGACGTCAGTGGGTGACGTCAGTGGGTGACGTCACTGGATGACGTCACTGCGAATAATAGGCTTAGAGGTAGTATTCAAAGTTGCGAACTAAGTACCTATTATAAATATATATTCACTTTGCGTTTTGCACTCGGACCAAGAAGTCTAAAGTTCATCAGATTCCATCATCCGCGAGATGGACATCCACAGCGTCAAACCCCTTGTAGTTCCGCATGAACTTCTTGGAGCACGTCATGTGCTGCGTCGCCCCGGAGTCGACCAGCCAGATGTCGCTCGATTTCGCAGATGTCGTTTCACCGATCGAAAAGAGGTAGTCGCCCGAGTCTTCTTCTTGAGCGACGTTTGCACGTTGTGATCGATAGCGGTCGCCGCTGTCTTGAGCACGCTGTGGCCGGTGTCTCTCCGTGTTTTCTTGGATGCGCGAGGGACACTCCGCCATCCAGTGACCAATCTTTCCGCAATTGTGGCACGGCCAGGACTTCTTCACTGGTCGCCCTTTGCGCTGATTGTCCCCTTGTGATGAACGCTTGACCTTGCGAAGCTTCATCACCTTTACTTCCTTGCTCCTTCCGCTTCATTTCTTCATGAAGCAGTCGAGACGTCACGAGCTCCCAGCTAAGAGTGTCTGAGCGCGACTCCAAAGCTGTGATCAAGAATTGATACGAGTCACTCAGGCTGCCGAGGAGTGTGATCACCAGATCGTCCTCGCAGACTGGAGCCCCCACCGCTTCTAGCTGTTCCGCCAGCGTCTTGAGCTTGTTGATGTGTTCGAGCACATCGTCGCCTTCTTCCATCATTGTCGTGAAGAAGCGACGGCGCAAGAACAGCTTGTTGGCAAGACTCTTCTTCTCGAAGTGGTCTTCCAACCTTGACCATGCGTCGCATGCACCACTTGCCGACCGGACCAACGGTAGCTGGGAATCTTCCATGGCTAGACAGATCACTGCCATCGCCTTTCTTGACTTCCTCTTGTACGTCGCTTGGTCCAACTGAGTCTCGCACTGTTCCGCCTTGATCTCACCGCTGACGACCTCCCATAGGTCCCGTTCCTCCAGCACCATCTGCATCTTGAACTTCCAGGCGTGGAAGTTAGTTCCATCGAACTTGGAGATGCGGAGGGAGGAGGCGTCCATGGCAGCTAAGCTTGAATTGTTGGCGGTTTCAGAGTCTGACGAACTTGGGCTCATAACCTGATGAACTTTAGACTTCTTGGTCCGAGTGCAAAACGCAAAGTGAATATATATTTATAATAGGTACTTAGTTCGCAACTTTGAATACTACCTCTAAGCCTATTATTCGCAGTGACGTCATCCAGTGACGTCACCCACTGACGTCACCCACTGACGTCATGCAATGACGTCATCCAGTGACGTCATTTCCTGACTTCGCCCTTACTGGTACATACCGGTACCCACCGGTATAGCGAAGCTTGGTCTTCCACTTGCTTCAACACTTGACGCAGCTTGACGAGGTGTCTTCTTCACAGCCGCTGTCTTTTCAACATTCTTCACAGCCGCTGTCTTTTCAACATGAATACTACCTCTAAGCCTATTATTCGCAGTGACGTCATCCAGTGACGTCACCCACTGACGTCATGCAATGACGTCATCCAGTGACGTCATTTCCTGACTTCGCCCTTACTGGTACATACCGGTACCCACCGGTATAGCGAAGCTTGGTCTTCCACTTGCTTCAACACTTGACGCAGCTTGACGAGGTGTCTTCTTCACAGCCGCTGTCTTTTCAACAAACCAAGGATCAATCGCTCTCGCCAAGAACCCGGAGTTCCATAAGAGAACAAAACACATCGACATACGCTACCATTTTGTGCGTGAGAAGGTGGAATCAGGTGAAGTCGTTTTGGAGTATTGCCCGACTCAAGATATGCTGGCAGACATGATGACCAAGCCGATCGCCGCTGTACAATTTGAAAACATTCGCGATCGACTTGGGATCCAAGGTGCCGCAGCTAACGAGTCGAGAGGGAGTGTTGAAAAGACAGCGGCTGTGAAGAAGACACCTCGTCAAGCTGCGTCAAGTGTTGAAGCAAGTGGAAGACCAAGCTTCGCTATACCGGTGGGTACCGGTATGTACCAGTAAGGGCGAAGTCAGGAAATGACGTCACTGGATGACGTCATTGCATGACGTCAGTGGGTGACGTCAGTGGGTGACGTCACTGGATGACGTCACTGCGAATAATAGGCTTAGAGGTAGTATTCAAAGTTGCGAACTAAGTACCTATTATAAATATATATTCACTTTGCGTTTTGCACTCGGACCAAGAAGTCTAAAGTTCATCAGATTCCATCATCCGCGAGATGGACATCCACAGCGTCAAACCCCTTGTAGTTCCGCATGAACTTCTTGGAGCACGTCATGTGCTGCGTCGCCCCGGAGTCGACCAGCCAGATGTCGCTCGATTTCGCAGATGTCGTTTCACCGATCGAAAAGAGGTAGTCGCCCGAGTCTTCTTCTTGAGCGACGTTTGCACGTTGTGATCGATAGCGGTCGCCGCTGTCTTGAGCACGCTGTGGCCGGTGTCTCTCCGTGTTTTCTTGGATGCGCGAGGGACACTCCGCCATCCAGTGACCAATCTTTCCGCAATTGTGGCACGGCCAGGACTTCTTCACTGGTCGCCCTTTGCGCTGATTGTCCCTTGTGATGAACGCTTGACCTTGCGAAGCTTCATCACCTTTACTTCCTTGCTCCTTCCGCTTCATTTCTTCATGAAGCAGTCGAGACGTCACGAGCTCCCAGCTAAGAGTGTCTGAGCGCGACTCCAAAGCTGTGATCAAGAATTGATACGAGTCACTCAGGCTGCCGAGGAGTGTGATCACCAGATCGTCCTCGCAGACTGGAGCCCCCACCGCTTCTAGCTGTTCCGCCAGCGTCTTGAGCTTGTTGATGTGTTCGAGCACATCGTCGCCTTCTTCCATCATTGTCGTGAAGAAGCGACGGCGCAAGAACAGCTTGTTGGCAAGACTCTTCTTCTCGAAGTGGTCTTCCAACCTTGACCATGCGTCGCATGCACCACTTGCCGACCGGACCAACGGTAGCTGGGAATCTTCCATGGCTAGACAGATCACTGCCATCGCCTTTCTTGACTTCCTCTTGTACGTCGCTTGGTCCAACTGGAGTCTCGCACTGTTCCGCCTTGATCTCACCGCTGACGACCTCCCATAGGTCCCGTTCCTCCAGCACCATCTGCATCTTGAACTTCCAGGCGTGGAAGTTAGTTCCATCGAACTTGGAGATGCGGAGGGAGGAGGCGTCCATGGCAGCTAAGCTTGAATTGTTGGCGGTTTCAGAGTCTGACGAACTTGGGCTCATAACCTGATGAACTTTAGACTTCTTGGTCCGAGTGCAAAACGCAAAGTAAATATATATTTATAATAGGTACTTAGTTCGCAACTTTGAATACTACCTCTAAGCCTATTATTCGCAGTGACGTCATCCAGTGACGTCACCCACTGACGTCACCCACTGACGTCATGCAATGACGTCATCCAGTGACGTCATTTCCTGACTTCGCCCTTACTGGTACATACCGGTACCCACCGGTATAGCGAAGCTTGGTCTTCCACTTGCTTCAACACTTGACGCAGCTTGACGAGGTGTCTTCTTCACAGCCGCTGTCTTTTCAACATGAATACTACCTCTAAGCCTATTATTCGCAGTGACGTCATCCAGTGACGTCACCCACTGACGTCACCCACTGACGTCATGCAATGACGTCATCCAGTGACGTCATTTCCTGACTTCGCCCTTACTGGTACATACCGGTACCCACCGGTATAGCGAAGCTTGGTCTTCCACTTGCTTCAACACTTGACGCAGCTTGACGAGGTGTCTTCTTCACAGCCGCTGTCTTTTCAACAAACCAAGGATCAATCGCTCTCGCCAAGAACCCGGAGTTCCATAAGAGAACAAAACACATCGACATACGCTACCATTTTGTGCGTGAGAAGGTGGAATCAGGTGAAGTCGTTTTGGAGTATTGCCCGACTCAAGATATGCTGGCAGACATGATGACCAAGCCGATCGCCGCTGTACAATTTGAAAACATTCGCGATCGACTTGGGATCCAAGGTGCCGCAGCTAACGAGTCGAGAGGGAGTGTTGAAAAGACAGCGGCTGTGAAGAAGACACCTCGTCAAGCTGCGTCAAGTGTTGAAGCAAGTGGAAGACCAAGCTTCGCTATACCGGTGGGTACCGGTATGTACCAGTAAGGGCGAAGTCAGGAAATGACGTCACTGGATGACGTCATTGCATGACGTCAGTGGGTGACGTCACTGCGAATAATAGGCTTAGAGGTAGTATTCAAAGTTGCGAACTAAGTACCTATTATAAATATATATTCACTTTGCGTTTTGCACTCGGACCAAGAAGTCTAAAGTTCATCAGTTATGAGCCCAAGTTCGTCAGACTCTGAAACCGCCAACAATTCAAGCTTAGCTGCCATGGACGCCTCTCCTCCCTCCGCATCTCCAAGTTCGATGGAACTAACTTCCACGCCTGGAAGTTCAAGATGCAGATGGTGCTGGAGGAACGGGACCTATGGGAGGTCGTCAGCGGTGAGATCAAGGCGGAACAGTGCGAGACTCAGTTGGACCAAGCGACGTACAAGAGGAAGTCAAGAAAGGCGATGGCAGTGATCTGTCTAGCCATGGAAGATTCCCAGCTACCGTTGGTCCGGTCGGCAAGTGGTGCATGCGACGCATGGTCAAGGTTGGAAGACCACTTCGAGAAGAAGAGTCTTGCCAACAAGCTGTTCTTGCGCCGTCGCTTCTTCACGACAATGATGGAAGAAGGCGACGATGTGCTCGAACACATCAACAAGCTCAAGACGCTGGCGGAACAGCTAGAAGCGGTGGGGGCTCCAGTCTGCGAGGACGATCTGGTGATCACACTCCTCGGCAGCCTGAGTGACTCGTATCAATTCTTGATCACAGCTTTGGAGTCGCGCTCAGACACTCTTAGCTGGGAGCTCGTGACGTCTCGACTGCTTCATGAAGAAATGAAGCGGAAGGAGCAAGGAAGTAAAGGTGATGAAGCTTCGCAAGGTCAAGCGTTCATCACAAGGGGACAATCAGCGCAAAGGGCGACCAGTGAAGAAGTCCTGGCCGTGCCACAATTGCGGAAAGATTGGTCACTGGATGGCGGAGTGCCCTCGCGCATCCAAGAAAACACGGAGAGACACCGGCCACAGCGTGCTCAAGACAGCGGCGACCGCTATCGATCACAACGTGCAAACGTCGCTCAAGAAGAAGACTCGGGCGACTACCTCTTTTCGATCGGTGAAACGACATCTGCGAAATCGAGCGACATCTGGCTGGTCGACTCCGGGGCGACGCAGCACATGACGTGCTCCAAGAAGTTCATGCGGAACTACAAGGGGTTTGACGCTGTGGATGTCCATCTCGCGGATGATGGAATCGTCCAAGCAATCGGCAGTGGGGACATTGTCATGTCGATGAAGACACCCCAAGGGATGAAGAAAGGTGTGCTCACAAACGTGTGGCACATCCCAAAGTTATCCAGAAACCTGTTCTCGGTCGGCCGCTTCACCAAGGATGTCGGCCCAGTGACGTTCACGAAGGATGGGTGCTATGGAGAAGCGAAAGGGACCAAGTGGAAAATTGGTGCCCGTGAAGGTAAAGGACTGTTCAAGCTGCAAATGACTCCAGTGGCGCCGGAACAAGCAAATGCAGCCAAGTCGTCGGGATGTCAAGGGGGCACCAAGTCGTACCTCTGGCACCTTCGGCTTGGCCACATAGGTCACGATGGACTCAATTGCATCGTGACGAAGAACATTGAATTGGCATCGACATATCTTCGGTGAAGAAGTGGGACGTGTGTGAAGGTTGTGCTCTGGGAAAACAGACTCGAGTGCGCTTCCAATCAAACACTACAGCTCGCACCTCCAAACTCCTCGAAGTGATTCACAGCGACGTATGCGGACCGATGTCGATGGCAACTTTCAGTGGAAAACGGTACTTCGTGACATTCATTGATGACAAGTCAAGATACTGTGTCGTCTATCTGCTCAAGAGCAAATCTGAAGTTGCGGCGAAGTTCATGGAATACGCTGCGATGGCCGAAACGCAAACCGGAAAGCGCGTGAAGTACCTTCAAAGCGACAATGGGGGTGAATACAAGTCCGACAAGCTGGCACGATTCTGCGCGGAACGGGGAATACAACAAAGGTTCACACCTCCATATACTCCTCAGCTAAACGGAGTAGCTGAGAGAATGAATCGCACGCTGGTCGAGTGTGCGCGTTGCATGATGGAACACGCTGGACTGGGAAAGAGCTACTGGGGTGAAGCAGTGATGACGGCGATGTTTCTTCGAAACCGCTGTCCAACACGTGCCATTCACCAAGACAAGTCTCCATATCAAGTGTGGACGATGAAGAAACCGATTCTGGCCAACCTTAAAGTGTTTGGATGCCACGCGTATGTTCAAGTGCCTCAAGACAAACGCGCGAAGTTCGACTCCAAGTCATCACTCTGTCGTTTCCTGGGATACGCCGAACACCAGAAGTCATATCGATTTGAGGAAGTGTCAACAGGAGCGATCAAGATCAGTCGCGATGCCACATTCATGGAAGACAAGTTTGATGAAGGTCCGCGCAACTACAACGATGAGTCAAGTGTCGTTGAGTTTGATGATCATGATGAGGACGAAGAAAAAGAAGAAGGTAAAACTGACGACGACATGGACTCGAGCGACGATGACAACGAAGACACCAGGTCTTCGAAGAGCAACATCAAGAGACACACGCGCACTCAATCACTTGAGAAAGCTACCGTCATTCCAAGTCCCAAGCGAAGAACATACAGAGGTCCGTCGCTTGAGCATGTGTCAGCGGCTGCAATGGATTTTGAAGCAGCCTACATCGTTGATTCAGTGGGGGAAACGCCGACTACATTCAAGTCGGCGATGGAATCAAGCGACTCCGGCAAGTGGAAAGAAGCGTGTGACTCGGAGTTCGATTCGCTTCAGAGAAACGACACGTGGGAAATCGTGCCTCTTCCGAAAGGTCGCAAGGCCATCGGGTGCCGATGGGTTTTTCGTGTAAAGGAGAATCAAGATGGCGAAGTTGAACGTTTCAAGGCAAGACTTGTGGCCAAAGGATTCTCACAGAAATTCGGAGTTGACTATGAAGAAACTTTCGCACCGGTGGCCAAGTTCACATCGATTCGTGTGGTGCTCAGTATGGCGGCTAAGTACGGCCTAATGCTACATCAGATGGACGTCAAGACAGCGTTTCTTAACGGCTCCCTCAACGAAGACATCTACATGGACCAGCCGGACGGATACCTGGATGCAACACAGCCGGACTATGTGTGCAAGCTAAAGAGATCACTCTACGGCTTGAAGCAATCGCCTCGCATGTGGAACCAAACAATCGATGGGTTCATGATCAAGATGGGATTCAAGAAGTGCGAATCGGACCACTGCATCTACATCAAGCGAGACGACCAAGACATGATTCTCGTGGTGCTCTACGTCGATGATCTCATCCTGGCCAGCAGCAACAACGAACTCCTCAAGTCAACCAAGATGGCGCTGAGCAAACGCTTCGAAATGACGGATCTCGGTGAGCTCGATTACTTTCTCGGCATGGAGATCAAGAACGACCGTAAGACGGGAATGGTGACTGTACAACAAACCAAGTTTCTCAAGTCCGTGTTAACCAAGTTCGGAATGGATAACAGCAAGCCAGTGAAGACGCCTCAAGATCCCGGCCTGAAGCTAACCAAGAACATGTGTGAACAAGAATGCAAGCACGAAGACACCATGTGCAACGTGCCATATCGAAGTGCTGTCGGAGGCATCATGTATCTCATGGTCGCCACACGTCCGGATCTAGCTGCTGCAGTGGGATCATTATCCCAGTTCTCGTCCGACCCATGCCCGACTCACTGGCAAGCTTTGAAGCGTGTGCTGAGATACCTGCAAGCAACGCCCAATCATGGTCTTGAGTTTACACGTGAAGAAGGAAGCCGTATCTGCGGGTACACCGACGCAGACTGGGCCGGCGGCATTGAGTCAAGACGAAGTACAAGCGGCTATGTGTTCATGATGAGCGGAGGATGCATCAGCTGGAAAAGCCAGAAACAACGGACGGTCGCGCTATCTTCAACAGAAGCAGAATACATGGCGCTTTCCGAAGCAACCAAAGAAGCAGTATGGCTCAAAGTGCTTTTGGGGGAACTTGGTGAGATGACAAGCGACGAAGCGATCAAGATGTATGAAGACAACCAAGGATCAATCGCTCTCGCCAAGAACCCGGAGTTCCATAAGAGAACAAAACACATCGACATACGCTACCATTTTGTGCGTGAGAAGGTGGAATCAGGTGAAGTCGTTTTGGAGTATTGCCCGACTCAAGATATGCTGGCAGACATGATGACCAAGCCGATCGCCGCTGTACAATTTGAAAACATTCGCGATCGACTTGGGATCCAAGGTGCCGCAGCTAACGAGTCGAGAGGGAGTGTTGAAAAGACAGCGGCTGTGAAGAAGACACCTCGTCAAGCTGCGTCAAGTGTTGAAGCAAGTGGAAGACCAAGCTTCGCTATACCGGTGGGTACCGGTATGTACCAGTAAGGGCGAAGTCAGGAAATGACGTCACTGGATGACGTCATTGCATGACGTCAGTGGGTGACGTCAGTGGGTGACGTCACTGCGAATAATAGGCTTAGAGGTAGTATTCAAAGTTGCGAACTAAGTACCTATTATAAATATATATTCACTTTGCGTTTTGCACTCGGACCAAGAAGTCTAAAGTTCATCACCCACACCCTTGATGGCCACCTTGTTGCCATCAGCCACCAAGAGTTCGCTCTCATTGCGCTCTGCCAAACTTGCGAACTTGGTCTTGTCGTGGCAAATGTGGTGCGTTGCACCACTGTCGACGGCCCACATTCCAGACACGTCCTTGCTCGTCGAAACTCCACATTCGAACGAGACTGCAAACGCCACTCGATCGTAGCCATTGCCTTCATCATGATGTCCCCACTGGACATTATTAGCCCCGCGTCCACGACCATTGCCGCCGCGTCGGGCTCCCCGACCTTCGTTCTTCTGCTTTGTCCAGCAACGATCCACCGTGTGTCCCACCTTGCCACAATACGTGCATTGGTAGGGCTCACGCTCGGCGCTGAATGCCTTGCTTGCATCTTCAGCCTTCACCGTAGTCGCTGTCGTTGTCCCTTTTTCTCCTTGACGCTTGGCATGCTCATTCGTCAGGACTCTCACCACATCTTGAGTGCAAAGCTCGGTGCTGCTCATTTCCATGTTGAGCACCACATTTTCGTAGCTCTTCGGAAGACTGAGTAGCAGACAAATTGCAACGTCTTCGTCTTCCATCTTCGCACCGATGCCGCTAAGCTTGGCGGAGATGTTGAGGACCTCGTTGCAGTGATGCATGACGTTCGCGCCTTCAGCCATCTTGATACTGAAAAGTTGTCGCTTGAGGTAGATGCGTCCTGCCTTCTGCGACCCACCGTACAGCGTCTTCAGACTTGTCCACGCAACCCAGGCTTCCTCGCAGTTGTCCAGCACATGATGGTAGTCCGCGTTCATGTGCAGCAGCATCATACCAAACGCGACGTTGCTTGCCTTGACGTAGTCATCGGACGCTCGCGGGTCGGTGAAAGTCGGAGTCACTTCACGGTTGACGACGTGCCAGACGGACTTCGTCAAAAACACACCGCGCATGTACCGGCTCCACGTTGCGTAATTGTCTCCGTTGAACTTGTCAATGGAGGCGTTGCTGGTGGACGACATGGCGCTTGGGCTCATAACCTGTTGCATTGTAGATCGGAGCGAGGAAAGCGGAGCGAACGGAGCGGAGAGTGATGAACTTTAGACTTCTTGGTCCGAGTGCAAAACGCAAAGTGAATATATATTTATAATAGGTAATTAGTTCGCAACTTTGAATACTACCTCTAAGCCTATTATTCGCAGTGACGTCATCCAGTGACGTCACCCACTGACGTCACCCACTGACGTCATGCAATGACGTCATCCAGTGACGTCACCCACTGACGTTATCCAATGACGTCATTTCCTGACTTCGCCCTTACTGGTACATACCGGTACCCACCGGTATAGCGAAGCTTGGTCTTCCACTTGCTTCAACACTTGACGCAGCTTGACGAGGTGTCTTCTTCACAGCCGCTGTCTTTTCAACACTCCCTCTCGACTCGTTAGCTGCGGCACCTTGGATCCCAAGTCGATCGCGAATGTTTTCAAATTGTACAGCGGCGATCGTCTTGGTCATCATGTCTGCCAGCATATCTTGAGTCGGGCAATACTCCAAAACGACTTCACCTGATTCCACCTTCTCACGCACAAAATGGTAGCGTATGTCGATGTGTTTTGTTCTCTTATGGAACTCCGGGTTCTTGGCGAGAGCGATTGATCCTTGGTTGTCTTCATACATCTTGATCGCTTCGTCGCTTGTCATCTCACCAAGTTCCCCCAAAAGCACTTTGAGCCATACTGCTTCTTTGGTTGCTTCGGAAAGCGCCATGTATTCTGCTTCTGTTGAAGATAGCGCGACCGTCCGTTGTTTCTGGCTTTTCCAGCTGATGCATCCTCCGCTCATCATGAACACATATCCGCTTGTACTTCGTCTTGACTCAATGTCGCCGGCCCAGTCTGCGTCGGTGTACCCGCAGATACGGCTTCCTTCTTCACGTGTAAACTCAAGATCATGATTGGGCGTTGCTTGCAGGTATCTCAGCACACGCTTCAAAGCTTGCCAGTGAGTCGGGCATGGGTCGGACGAGAACTGGGATAATGATCCCACTGCAGCAGCTAGATCCGGACGTGTGGCGACCATGAGATACATGATGCCTCCGACAGCACTTCGATATGGCACGTTGCACATGGTGTCTTCGTGCTTGCATTCTTGTTCACACATGTTCTTGGTTAGCTTCAGGCCGGGATCTTGAGGCGTCTTCACTGGCTTGCTGTTATCCATTCCGAACTTGGTTAACACGGACTTGAGAAACTTGGTTTGTTGTACAGTCACCATTCCCGTCTTACGGTCGTTCTTGATCTCCATGCCGAGAAAGTAATCGAGCTCACCGAGATCCGTCATTTCGAAGCGTTTGCTCAGCGCCATCTTGGTTGACTTGAGGAGTTCGTTGTTGCTGCTGGCCAGGATGAGATCATCGACGTAGAGCACCACGAGAATCATGTCTTGGCCGTCTCACTTGATGTAGATGCAGTGGTCCGATTCGCACTTCTTGAATCCCCATCTTGATCATGAACCCATCGATTGTTTGGTTCCACATGCGAGGCGATTGCTTCAAGCCGTAGAGTGATCTCTTTAGCTTGCACACATAGTCCGGCTGTGTTGCATTCAGGTATCCGTCCGGCTGGTCCATGTAGATGTCTTCGTTGAGGGAGCCGTTAAGAAACGCTGTCTTGACGTCCATCTGATGTAGCATTAGGCCGTACTTGGCCGCCATACTGAGCACCACACGAATCGATGTGAACTTTATTGAGGGTTACCGGTACAATCCGAACCTAGCGCGTAGTTCTTACGAGATAGTTTTTACATCGGTAATTACCTCAGAGATGATTAGACGCGTAGGATGATTGGACGCGTGTAAATCAGGTTGATTAGATGCACCATGTGATTGGATGCAGTCTAGGGTAGGCAGAAGTTAAGACCTATAAATCAATCACTTTCGAATCCTCCCTCAAGTGAGCAAGTGTTCTCTGCTTCGTTCTCTCCGGTCTCTCCGCTTCGTTTTCTCTTCGCCTCGCGCTCAAGTTACAACAGGTTATGAGCCCAAGCGCCATGTCGTCCAACAACACCTCGGCCAGTGTCTCCATCGATAAGTTCGATGGGGACAACTACTCAACCTGGTGTCGCTACATGCGCGGCGTGTTTCTGACGAAGTCAGTCTGGTACGTCGTGAACCTCGAAACGTCTCCAACCTTCACCGACACGCGAGCTTCCGACGAGTACGTCAAGGCGAGCAACATCGCGTTCGGGTTGATGTTGCTCCACATGGACGCCGACTACCACCATGTGGTCGACAACTGTGAAGAAGCATGGACAGCGTGGTCGCGGTTGAAGATGCTCTATGGTGGGTCGCAGAAGGCGGTACGCATCTACCTCAAGCGCCAGCTGTTCAGCATCAAGATGGCGGAAGGTTCCAACGTCTTGCACCATTGCAACGAAGTCTTGAACATCGGCGCCAAGCTCAGCAGCATCGGTGCCAAGATGGAAGACGAAGACATTGCGATCTGCTTGCTGCTCAGTCTCCCGAAGAGTTTCGAGAACGTGGTTCTGAACTTGGAGATGAGCAATGCAGAGCTGCGCACGCAAGATGTGGTCAAGGTGCTGACTAACGAGCACATCAAGCGACAAGGCGAGAAGATGACAACGGCAACGACAACGGTGAAGACTGAAGATGCGACAAAGGCATTCAGTACCGAGCGCAAGCCCTACCAATGCACATACTGCGGCAAGGTGGGGCACACGGCAGAGCGTTGCTGGACGAAGCAAAAGGATGAAAGTCGAGGAGCCCAACGCGGCGGCAATGGTCGTGGACGCGGGGCAAACAATGTCCAGTGGCGACATTATGATGAAGGCAACAGCTACGATCGAGTGGCGTTTGCAGTTTCGTTCGAATGCGGAGTTTCGACGAACAAGAATGGACCAGGAATGTGGGCCGTTGACAGCGGGGCAACACATCACATCTGCCACGACAAGTTCAAGTTTGCAAGCTTGGTCGAAGGCAATGATGGCGAGATCCTGGTGGCTGATGGCAACAAGGCGGCCATCAAAGGTGTGGGGACCATCGTGGAAAAGGTGATTCTGCCAAACGGGGAAGAGCGCGAGATCGAGATCAAGAACGCGCTCTATGTGCCCAGCATGAGCAAAAATCTGCTCGCGGTGCCCCAGATCACCAAGTATGGCAAGTTTCAAGTAGTGTTTGACGGGGATACGATGTACGTCGCTCGCAAGGATTCCAATCAAGTGGTGGCAGCTGCGGATCTTGTAGACGGACTCTACTGGCTTCGCACGACGCAGCGATCGGCCAATGCGACATCACTCAGCAACGCTGTTGATCTACATGCGCGAATGGGCCATGCTCCAGTCGACGTGCTTCGCAGGATGGTGACAAGCCACATGATCAAGGACGCTCACATCCCTTCCAAGCCGAATGGATCAAGTGTGTGTCGAGGATGCCAAGAAGGGAAGATGGTCCAAAAACCATTCCCGAGCAACAGTGACAAGCGCACCTACAACACCTTCGAGATGCTCCACTTCGACATCTGCGGACCCATGGAAGAAAAATCTCTGGGTGGCAGCAAGTATCTGCTGCTGATCGTGGATGAAGCCAGCGGATGCATGAAGGGTTTTTGTCTGCATTCCAAGTCAGAGAGCGAAGAGTGCATCAAGAAGTACATCACGATGATACAGACGCAGTTCAACAAGAAGGTCAAATTTGTGCGACACGATGGAGCCCGCGAGTTTGCGACGAACTCGCTTCAAGATTTCTACGAAGTCGAAGGCATCGAGCAACAAACCACGGTGCCATACGCACATCAAGCCAATGGAACTGCTGAACGCGCGATTCGAACTATCGTCACCATCGGTCGTAGCATGCTCCATCATGCCAAGTTGGACAAGTGCTTCTGGGCTGAAGCGGCAATGACGGCCGTCTATGTGAAGAACCGTTTGCCGTCACCCAAGATTCCACACAAGACACCGTTCGAGATTGTCTACAATTCTAAGCCAAGTGTCAAGCACATGCGCGTTTTTGGGTGCCAAGCATACATCTTGACCCCGAAGGAGAAACGACTCAAGTGGGATCCCAAGGCCCGGGCTGGATTGTTTTTGGGCTACGAAGAAGTGTCCAAGGCGTATCGAGTTTACGAAATCGAAGCGGGGCAGGTGATGATAAGTCGCGATGTCAACTTCGATGAGTCGGCCTTTGGAATGTCGATGCTGATTTCCGATGACGATGTTGATGGCCTGGACTTCGAATCGATCGATCTTGATGATGAAGAACCGCGTCCGAGACACTTCAAACAAACAGGAAAGCGCAAGGCCCAACCCAGTCACGACAATGACGACGCAAGCATGCCCCGAGCAGTGCGCCAACGACCCGGATTGGAAGAGTCAAGTGCGCCGGATGACCTCTCTTCACGTCGAGCCAACGAAGATGAAGAAAGGAAGTCGGAGGAACAACATGACACACCGACTTCCTCCGCGTTTTGGCATGCGAGTGCAAACGCCGTCGAAGCAGCGGTCGATTTTTCGGAGCCGTCGACATTTGAAGAAGCAGTGTCTGGACCGGACCAAGTACACTGGCGCAAGGCAATTGATGCGGAGCTCGATTCGATGAAGCTTCGCGGTGTCTTTCGTGCGGCCAAGTTACCCAAAGGACAAAGCGCCATTGGCACAAAGTGGGTCTTCAAGATCAAGCGCAAGGCGGATGGGTCGATCGAGAAATACAAGGCACGACTTGTGGCCAAGGGTTTTCGCCAAAAGTATGGCATCGACTACACGGAGACGTTCTCGCCCGTGGTCAAGTATGTGACGCTGCGAATGGTCATCGCCATTACCAAGCACTTTGGATGGCCCCTCGACCAGCTCGATGTGGTGACTGCGTTCCTGTATGGAGTGATGAAGGAGAAGGTGTTCTGCGCTGTTCCGGAAGGCGTCAAGATGGAAGGTGATTTCTACTGTCTCGAGCTGATCAAGGCGATCTACGGTCTCAAGCAAGCCTCGCGTGTTTGGAACGAGACCTTCGACGAGTTCATACGCTCGATTGGTTTTCAAGCGTCGGGATTCGATCCATGTCTCTACATCATGACTTCGGAAGGCCATTGTGTTTTTGTGCTGGTCTACGTGGACGATGTCTTGGTGACTGGAAGCTCGCTCGAGATGATTGCGCGCACCAAGAACGACCTCAAGACACGCTTCGAGATGACGGACAGCGGCAAGTGTGCCTTTGTTCTTGGGATCGAGTTATTGGACGGTGAAGATGGCAGCTTGACTATGTGTCAGCGCCGTTATGTCGACGATGTCCTCAAGCGCTTTGGAATGGATGAGTGCAAGGCTGTGGCAAGTCCGGTGGACGTCAGCTCTCGACTGGTTCCGAGCAACTCTGCAAGCAAGGTGGATGTCCCATTCCGTGAAGCAGCGGGTGCTTTGATGCATCTGACGACTGCAACGCGACCGGACATCGCCTATGCTGTAAGCTTTGTGTCACGGTTCATGGAGAAACCCCAAGAAGAACACTGGGTTGTAGTCAAGCGCATCTTCCGCTACCTACAAGGTGTTGAAAAGACAGCGGCTGTGAAGAAGACACCTCGTCAAGCTGCGTCAAGTGTTGAAGCAAGTGGAAGACCAAGCTTCGCTATACCGGTGGGTACCGGTATGTACCAGTAAGGGCGAAGTCAGGAAATGACGTCACTGGATGACGTCATTGCATGACGTCAGTGGGTGACGTCACTGGATGACGTCACTGCGAATAATAGGCTTAGAGGTAGTATTCAAAGTTGCGAACTAAGTACCTATTATAAATATATATTCACTTTGCGTTTTGCACTCGGACCAAGAAGTCTAAAGTTCATCAGGTTATGAGCCCAAGTTCGTCAGACTCTGAAACCGCCAACAATTCAAGCTTAGCTGCCGTGGACGCCTCCTCCCTCCGCATCTCCAAGTTCGATGGAACTAACTTCCACGCCTGGAAGTTCAAGATGCAGATGGTGCTGGAGGAACGGGACCTATGGGAGGTCGTCAGCGGTGAGATCAAGGCGGAACAGTGCGAGACTCAGTTGGACCAAGCGACGTACAAGAGGAAGTCAAGAAAGGCGATGGCAGTGATCTGTCTAGCCATGGAAGATTCCCAGCTACCGTTGGTCCGGTCGGCAAGTGGTGCATGCGACGCATGGTCAAGGTTGGAAGACCACTTCGAGAAGAAGAGTCTTGCCAACAAGCTGTTCTTGCGCCGTCGCTTCTTCACGACAATGATGGAAGAAGGCGACGATGTGCTCGAACACATCAACAAGCTCAAGACGCTGGCGGAACAGCTAGAAGCGGTGGGGGCTCCAGTCTGCGAGGACGATCTGGTGATCACACTCCTCGGCAGCCTGAGTGACTCGTATCAATTCTTGATCACAGCTTTGGAGTCGCGCTCAGACACTCTTAGCTGGGAGCTCGTGACGTCTCGACTGCTTCATAAAGAAATGAAGCGGAAGGAGCAAGGAAGTAAAGGTGATGAAGCTTCGCAAGGTCAAGCGTTCATCACAAGGGACAATCAGCGCAAAGGGCGACCAGTGAAGAAGTCCTGGCCGTGCCACAATTGCGGAAAGATTGGTCACTGGATGGCGGAGTGCCCCTCGCGCATCCAAGAAAACACGGAGAGACACCGGCCACAGCGTGCTCAAGACAGCGGCGACCGCTATCGATCACAACGTGCAAACGTCGCTCAAGAAGAAGACTCGGGCGACTACCTCTTTTCGATCGGTGAAACGACATCTGCGAAATCGAGCGACATCTGGCTGGTCGACTCCGGGGCGACGCAGCACATGACGTGCTCCAAGAAGTTCATGCGGAACTACAAGGGGTTTGACGCTGTGGATGTCCATCTCGCGGATGATGGAATCGTCCAAGCAATCGGCAGTGGGGACATTGTCATGTCGATGAAGACACCCCAAGGGATGAAGAAAGGTGTGCTCACAAACGTGTGGCACATCCCAAAGTTATCCAGAAACCTGTTCTCGGTCGGCCGCTTCACCAAGGATGTCGGCCCAGTGACGTTCACGAAGGATGGGTGCTATGGAAAAGCGAAAGGGACCAAGTGGAAAATTGGTGCCCGTGAAGGTAAAGGACTGTTCAAGCTGCAAATGACTCCAGTGGCGCCGGAACAAGCAAATGCAGCCAAGTCGTCGGGATGCCAAGGGGGCACCAAGTCGTACCTCTGGCACCTTCGGCTTGGCCACATAGGTCACGATGGACTCAATTGCATCGTGACGAAGAACATTGGAATTGGCATCGACATATCTTCGGTGAAGAAGTGGGACGTGTGTGAAGGTTGTGCTCTGGGAAAACAGACTCGAGTGCGCTTCCAATCAAACACTACAGCTCGCACCTCCAAACTCCTCGAAGTGATTCACAGCGACGTATGCGGACCGATGTCGATGGCAACTTTCAGTGGAAAACGGTACTTCGTGACATTCATTGATGACAAGTCAAGATACTGTGTCGTCTATCTGCTCAAGAGCAAATCTGAAGTTGCGGCGAAGTTCATGGAATACGCTGCGATGGCCTAAACGCCGAAACACCGGAAAGCGCGTGAAGTACCTTCAAAGCGACAATGGGGGTGAATACAAGTCCGACAAGCTGGCACGATTCTGCGCGGAACGGGGGAATACAACAAAGGTTCACACCCCCCATATACTCCTCAGCTAAACGGAGTGGCTGAGAGAATGAATCGCACGCTGGTCGAGTGTGCGCGTTGCATGATGGAACACGCTGGACTGGGAAAGAGCTACTGGGGTGAAGCAGTGATGACGGCGATGTTTCTTCGAAACCGCTGTCCAACACGTGCCATTCACCAAGACAAGTCTCCATATCAAGTGTGGACGATGAAGAAACCGATTCTGGCCAACCTTAAAGTGTTTGGATGCCACGCGTATGTTCAAGTGCCTCAAGACAAACGCGCGAAGTTCGACTCCAAGTCATCACTCTGTCGTTTCCTGGGATACGCCGAACACCAGAAGTCATATCGATTTGAGGAAGTGTCAACAGGAGCGATCAAGATCAGTCGCGATGCCACATTCATGGAAGACAAGTTTGATGAAGGTCCGCGCAACTACAACGATGAGTCGAGTGTCGTTGAGTTTGATGATCATGATGAGGACGAAGAAAAAGAAGAAGGTAAAACTGACGACGACATGGACTCGAGCGACGATGACAACGAAGACACCAGGTCTTCGAAGAGCAACATCAAGAGACACACGCGCACTCAATCACTTGAGAAAGCTACCGTCATTCCAAGTCCCAAGCGAAGAACATACAGAGGTCCGTCGCTTGAGCATGTGTCAGCGGCTGCAATGGATTTTGAAGCAGCCTACATCGTTGATTCAGTGGGGGAAACGCCGACTACATTCAAGTCGGCGATGGAATCAAGCGACTCCGGCAAGTGGAAAGAAGCGTGTGACTCGGAGTTCGATTCGCTTCAGAGAAACGACACGTGGGAAATCGTGCCTCTTCCGAAAGGTCGCAAGGCCATCGGGTGCCGATGGGTTTTTCGTGTAAAGGAGAATCAAGATGGCGAAGTTGAACGTTTCAAGGCAAGACTTGTGGCCAAAGGATTCTCACAGAAATTCGGAGTTGACTATGAAGAAACTTTCGCACCGGTGGCCAAGTTCACATCGATTCGTGTGGTGCTCAGTATGGCGGCCAAGTACGGCCTAATGCTACATCAGATGGACGTCAAGACAGCGTTTCTTAACGGCTCCCTCAACGAAGACATCTACATGGACCAGCCGGACGGATACCTGGATGCAACACAGCCGGACTATGTGTGCAAGCTAAAGAGATCACTCTACGGCTTGAAGCAATCGCCTCGCATGTGGAACCAAACAATCGATGGGTTCATGATCAAGATGGGATTCAAGAAGTGCGAATCGGACCACTGCATCTACATCAAGCGAGACGACCAAGACATGATTCTCGTGGTGCTCTACGTCGATGATCTCATCCTGGCCAGCAGCAACAACGAACTCCTCAAGTCAACCAAGATGGCGCTGAGCAAACGCTTCGAAATGACGGATCTCGGTGAGCTCGATTACTTTCTCGGCACGGAGATCAAGAACGACCGTAAGACGGGAATGGTGACTGTACAACAAACCAAGTTTCTCAAGTCCGTGTTAACCAAGTTCGGAATGGATAACAGCAAGCCAGTGAAGACGCCTCAAGATCCCGGCCTGAAGCTAACCAGGAACATGTGTGAACAAGAATGCAAGCACGAAGACACCATGTGCAACGTGCCATATCGAAGTGCTGTCGGAGGCATCATGTATCTCATGGTCGCCACACGTCCGGATCTAGCTGCTGCAGTGGGATCATTATCCCAGTTCTCGTCCGACCCATGCCCGACTCACTGGCAAGCTTTGAAGCGTGTGCTGAGATACCTGCAAGCAACGCCCAATCATGGTCTTGAGTTTACACGTGAAGAAGGAAGCCGTATCTGCGGGTACACCGACGCAGACTGGGCCGGCGACATTGAGTCAAGACGAAGTACAAGCGGCTATGTGTTCATGATGAGCGGAGGATGCATCAGCTGGAAAAGCCAGAAACAACGGACGGTCGCGCTATCTTCAACAGAAGCAGAATACATGGCGCTTTCCGAAGCAACCAAAGAAGCAGTATGGCTCAAAGTGCTTTTGGGGAACTTGGTGAGATGACAAGCGACGAAGCGATCAAGATGTATGAAGACAACCAAGGATCAATCGCTCTCGCCAAGAACCCGGAGTTCCATAAGAGAACAAAACACATCGACATACGCTACCATTTTGTGCGTGAGAAGGTGGAATCAGGTGAAGTCGTTTTGGAGTATTGCCCGACTCAAGATATGCTGGCAGACATGATGACCAAGCCGATCGCCGCTGTACAATTTGAAAACATTCGCGATCGACTTGGGATCCAAGGTGCCGCAGCTAACGAGTCGAGAGGGAGTGTTGAAAAGACAGCGGCTGTGAAGAAGACACCTCGTCAAGCTGCGTCAAGTGTTGAAGCAAGTGGAAGACCAAGCTTCGCTATACCGGTGGGTACCGGTATGTACCAGTAAGGGCGAAGTCAGGAAATGACGTCACTGGATGACGTCATTGCATGACGTCAGTGGGTGACGTCAGTGGGTGACGTCACTGGATGACGTCACTGCGAATAATAGGCTTAGAGGTAGTATTCAAAGTTGCGAACTAAGTACCTATTATAAATATATATTCACTTTGCGTTTTGCACTCGGACCAAGAAGCCTAAAGTTCATCACAAGGCACCAAGATGCATGGAATCTGCTACAAGCCAAGTGCGAAGATCGACTTTCGTGGCTATTCAGATGCAGACTGGGCCGGTGACCTTGCTGATCGCAAATCGACGTCCGGCTACGTCTTCATGCTATTGGGTGCTCCGGTGAGTTGGGGCAGCAAGAAACAGCCAAGTGTGTCACTGTCTACAAGCGAAGCGGAGTACATCGCGCTCAGCCTGGCGATCCAAGAAGGCAAGTGGATCAATCGCTTGCTGTGCGAGATCATGGCGGCTGCAAACGAAGAAGGACCCGAGCTCGTCATCCGTGAAGACAACCAGTCGTGCATCAAGATGACGAAGAATCCGGTCAACCACGGCCGCGCTAAACACATCGACATCAAGTACCATCACATCCGTGATGAAGTCAAGCGCGGCGAAGTGAAGCTTGAATACTGCGAGACGACGTTGATGTTGGCGGACATCATGACGAAGGGACTTCACGGACCGCGTCACAAGGACTTGACGGCGGCGCTTGGCATCCGTGCGTGTTCGGATTGAGGGGGCGTATTGAGGGTTACCGGTACAATCCGAACCTAGCGCGTAGTTCTTACGAGATAGTTTTTACATCGGTAATTACCTCAGAGATGATTAGACGCGTAGGATGATTGGACGCGTGTAAATCAGGTTGATTAGATGCACCATGTGATTGGATGCAGTCTAGAAGTTAAGACCTATAAATCAATCACTTTCGAATCCTCCCTCAAGTGAGCAAGTGTTCTCTGCTTCGTTCTCTCCGGTCTCTCCGCTTCGTTTTCTCTTCGCCTCGCGCTCAAGTTACAACAAACTTGGCCACCGGTGCGAAAGTTTCTTCATAGTCAACTCCGAATTTCTGTGAGAATCCTTTGGCCACAAGTCTTGCCTTGAAACGTTCAACTTCGCCATCTTGATTCTCCTTTACACGAAAAACCCATCGGCACCCGATGGCCTTGCGACCTTTCGGAAGAGGCACGATTTCCCACGTGTCGTTTCTCTGAAGCGAATCGAACTCCGAGTCACACGCTTCTTTCCACTTGCCGGAGTCGCTTGATTCCATCGCCGACTTGAATGTAGTCGGCGTTTCCCCCACTGAATCAACGATGTAGGCTGCTTCAAAATCCATTGCAGCCGCTGACACATGCTCAAGCGACGGACCTCTGTATGTTCTTCGCTTGGGACTTGGAATGACGGTAGCTTTCTCAAGTGATTGAGTGCGCGTGTGTCTCTTGATGTTGCTCTTCGAAGACCTGGTGTCTTCGTTGTCATCGTCGCTCGAGTCCATGTCGTCGTCAGTTTTACCTTCTTCTTTTTCTTCGTCCTCATCATGATCATCAAACTCAACGACACTTGACTCATCGTTGTAGTTGCGCGGACCTTCATCAAACTTGTCTTCCATGAATGTGGCATCGCGACTGATCTTGATCGCTCCTGTTGACACTTCCTCAAATCGATATGACTTCTGGTGTTCGGCGTATCCCAGGAAACGATAGAGTGATGACTTGGAGTCGAACTTCGCGCGTTTGTCTTGAGGCACTTGAACATACGCGTGGCATCCAAACACTTTAAGGTTGGCCAGAATCGGTTTCTTCATCGTCCACACTTGATATGGAGACTTGTCTTGGTGAATGGCACGTGTTGGACAGCGGTTTCGAAGAAACATCGCCGTCATCACTGCTTCACCCCAGTAGCTCTTTCCCAGTCCAGCGTGTTCCATCATGCAACGCGCACACTCGACCAGCGTGCGATTCATTCTCTCAGCTACTCCGTTTAGCTGAGGAGTGTATGGGGGTGTGAACCTTTGTTGTATTCCCCGTTCCGCGCAGAATCGTGCCAGCTTGTCGGACTTGTATTCACCCCCATTGTCGCTTTGAAGGTACTTCACGCGCTTTCCGGTTTGCGTTTCGGCCATCGCAGCGTATTCCATGAACTTCGCCGCAACTTCAGATTTGCTCTTGAGCAGATAGACGACACAGTATCTTGACTTGTCATCAATGAATGTCACGAAGTACCGTTTTCCACTGAAAGTTGCCATCGACATCGGTCCGCATACGTCGCTGTGAATCACTTCGAGGAGTTTGGAGGTGCGAGCTGTAGTGTTTGATTGGAAGCGCACTCGAGTCTGTTTTCCCAGAGCACAACCTTCACACACGTCCCACTTCTTCACCGAAGATATGTCGATGCCAATTCCAATGTTCTTCGTCACGATGCAATTGAGTCCATCGTGACCTATGTGGCCAAGCCGAAGGTGCCAGAGGTACGACTTGGTGCCCCCTTGACATCCCGACGACTTGGCTGCATTTTCTTGTTCCGGCGCCACTGGAGTCATTTGCAGCTTGAACAGTCCTTTACCTTCACGGGCACCAATTTTCCACTTGGTCCCTTTCGCTTCTCCATAGCACCCATCCTTCGTGAACGTCACTGGGCCGACATCCTTGGTGAAGCGGCCGACCGAGAACAGGTTTCTGGATAACTTTGGGATGTGCCACACGTTTGTGAGCACACCTTTCTTCATCCCTTGGGGTGTCTTCATCGACATGACAATGTCCCCACTGCCGATTGCTTGGACGATTCCATCATCCGCGAGATGGACATCCACAGCGTCAAACCCCTTGTAGT